TTTCATTTATGAAGATACTTTCTGGAATTCTAACACACTGATATATCAAAGCAGTTCAGATAAAATAAGCATCGTGCCCATGGCCCTGGGGTGGGACTGTGGATTGCACTCTTGTCACAGAGGGCCCTCTCTGACGCTGCACTGAAGACTCGGGGAGCCGCTGTGACAGGCTCGCTGATGTAAGTGGTTGAACCCTGGGAGATCTGCTCACCCTGGCCCTTCTTTTCTGCAAGAGGACTTAGAGGATCATCTCTCATTTTACCACCACGGAAACAGGAAACTAGTGAAGACTGACTGACCCAAGGACCTACAATGATTTTCATACAGCAATTTGAAACTAACCCTAACCCAAATTCTTGTCTGGTTAATACCCAGATAGGATCTTTAAAGGACTGGAGCCCAATTTGGTGATAATCTGTTGTTTTGATCCCTCTGTTACCATCATCTTCTACTGGAACCCCAGATTTGTGATAATGATGATTTGATAATGATGATGATGATAAGGATTTATTGAGGAGCTAGTATATTCCAAGCACTTTACGTACGTTATCTTTTTTAATCCTCACCGCCACTCTCAGGTGTGTTTATCCCCATTCTATAGGTGAGAAGAGTGAAACTCAGAGCAGTGACTTGCCTTAAGAAACATAGCTAATTAGGTGGTAGCCTCGGATTTATACTGATTAACTCGGAAATAGCTGGGAAATGTGTTTTTTCATTGAATACTCCTTGATGATCAAATACAAGACGTGATCAGAGTTGGGCCTTGCCTAATGTTATTTTATTCCCAGAAGTTTCCGCACCTCCCTGCCAGCAATTGTGGGTCATTGGACAGTTGCCTGGCTTCACATACCATGCCCATCAGCATCAGCACCTCTTAGATAGATGGACTTACTGTAGCTAGACGTGGGCTTGAAAGAGACAAGTAAATATGGCACCATACTAGGCTGTTAGTGATACTGTCACACAGCTCATTTAGCTTAGTTACGTAGCCCACACCGAGATGTAAACTTTATTAGAGGTTGTTTCAAAACAAGGTTTCATCAAGGGAGAGAATATTAATATGCCCCATGGCTTGTTTTCCCCTGTTTAGGGACTTGCATCTCATATTTTTAGTTTTCTTTGATTGGAATCTTTGTTGATCAGAACACCATTAAGTAAACACCATGCTTGTTGCGCATTAACATTTTAGTCTCATTTCTAGTACCAGGTAATTAGGCTCAAAGCTCCCATGTTAATAATTTCTCATGTTCCACTCTCAAGAATACATTTCCCCAGTGACTGAACTGCAGAGCAGTGTAACCGTCTCCAGTGAAACCACCAGGGCTGCAAAGATGCTGATTATTGAATGCGTTCTATTCAGCACAATGCAGACACGGTTTCTAGATTTGAGCCACAGGCCATTTGAAATGTGAGCAGGATGCATCCCTTTGTTCTGAAAGATCGCTCCTTCTTGAGTGAAACCACTGTAGACTTGGGGGAAAGCTTGTTTGACTTGAAGATTTTCCATGTGGAAGAACAAACATGTGTAAACCTCACCCTGACACTGGAAAGGGCAGCCTGGCAGGTTTCCTCGGGCCTGATTTGGGGACCAGGCAAATGCACAGGGAATGGTTAAATACACCTGCTAGACAATGTGTGACTAAGCATTTTGCAAAGCTTAATGACCACATATCTGGCCAAGGACTATAAACACAGATTACAATCTAGCACAGGATTGTAATGGCAGGCTGCATGAAATCTGAATTAGGTTAGAAGGTAACCCTCACTGTTTACCCAGAATCAGTCGTTGCCATGTGCTAAGCTCTGTCGCAATCACAGCACCAACTCCCCAACACCCTTGCCTCCCACACCTCGACTCCCAACAATGAGTCAAGCACAAACCTTGGTGTTGCCTAGTGATGGGGAATCAAACTCCACTTCAAACATCCCCCAGAGGCTTATGGGAGATGACAGACAAAATTGCAGCATGTGATTTATTCCTTTTTCTTTCCTTTTTCTCTATTTTGCTGTCTACTTCCATCTGGTGTGTTGGCAGTGCTCATGGAGCCAATTTTGTTTTTCTCCCTAGGGAGCACACCAGGATATGAAGGCACAGGAGGAGGTGACGAGAACATCTCCAGGAAGCCGGGCAATGTGTTGAAGACCTTGGACCCCATCCTCATTACCATCATAGCCATGAGCGCCCTCGGTGTCCTCTTGGGTGCTGTCTGTGGGGTCGTGCTGTACTGTGCCTGCTGGCACAACGGGATGTCAGAAAGAAACTTATCTGCCCTGGAGAACTATAACTTTGAACTTGTGGATGGAGTCAAGTTGAAAAAAGACAAATTGAATACACAGAGTTCTTATTCGGAGGCATGAAGGCAGACAGAGATGAAAAGACGAGTCGGAGAATTGAAGTGGAAGGACGTAACTTGAGCGTGCTGAGGAACTGTCAGTCTTTCACTGTACAGGCTGGGAAGTGCGCTGATGACGCTGAGCCAGGCTTTTCTCAGGAGCTTCAATGAGTATGGCCGACAGACATGAACAAGTTAGCTGTGTTAACAATCGGAATCATGTACAGTCAGCTTTTTTCTGTTGGTTTAATTTGAATAATCAAATGCTGGTGTTGAGACCAAGTATGATTGACTTAATAATTCATTTCAACTCCCCTTCTCCTTCTCTCTCCTCTTCCTTTTATGAATTCTCTTTGGAAACTGCAAAATCCAAGATGCTGGCACCAAGTGTATTCGGTGGGGCCCTTTTGATGGACATGCTACCTGTAGCCCAGTGCCCAGAGTATATGAGAACACCTGCATTTCGGTGGACTCCTGAAGCTGTACTTGTGTATAATTGCCCGCATCGTGCATAGGTAAAGAAAGATTAGGATGTTTTATTTTAAAGTACTGTAGCCTCAGTACCAGTCTAGTGTGTCAGCTCTGTTTACGAAGCAATACCGTCAAATCTTCTTGATGTTTTCCAGTGTTGTACTCAACCTCGTGCTTGTGAACTCCATACAGAAAACTGTGCCATCACCAAACACTGCTGGCAACTGAGTGTGCTGCCGACAACCGCAACGAAAAATCCTTGGCACTGGCTAGTCTATGTCCTCTCAAGTGCCTTTTTATTTGTACTGGTTCTCATTGTGTTACATTCACAACCCACTCTGTTTCTCGCTGGTGACAGCCCTACTCTAATCAAACCCGGGTGGCCCGCTGACTAAGAGGAAAGTATATTTTAGTGTGACGTCAGCCCCCGGGAAGGCAAGGGCTCCGATTTGGCAACGTGGCTTAATTGTTCTGCTTTTTTCTGTAGTAGTTCAATTTCATGTCTCTTGACCCTTTTGTATAAAGCTGCAATATTCTCTCTTATTGTTCTTTCATAATGGAATGTATTTTCAAATGTAAACTCTTTCTCTCTTCTCTCTCTGACTTTTTTCTCTCTTAGAATTTAAGCATTTGCCATTGTCCAGAAAAGAAACTTGCAGCTTTAACCTGCTGGTAATGGCAAACAATTTTACTAGACCTTATGTTTAAAGATAGATAAATAAGGGAAATTCCTAACTTTGTCCTCCAAAGTCTAACTTTGGTCTTCTTGTTAACTGGTTAAAGTGACAGTATCTTTTTTCCTTAAGCCATTTGTCTGTCTATTCCAATCAAAATGATCTTTGATAGAAATGTTTGCATTTAACAGAAATAGTGATAAGTTGAGGGAAGAAATAATGCTAATTGGCTTTTAAGTGAGACTCCAAGGAAAGACTGAATAAAATTCTCCAAATATCCAAAACATGAGATTTTTACATCCAAATATGCAAAAATGGCCCATGAGAACATTTTTGTTTTGGTATTGAGTCAGACAAGGGAAGTGGAAGAAAGAAGAGTTAATTTAAGAAAGCGGCTATAAATCCTGGTGCCTGGGGGTCAAGTATTTTCGAATAAGGGGTGGGAGGGAAACGACCAAAGTCCAAACAAATGTTTAAAAAATCCATTCAGCAGCAATCCTGTAGAAACAGAGACTTGAATGAATGCTTCTAGAAACTTCCAACGGCTAACAAAGAAAAAACCTGCCCTGGGGCTGGCAAGACCAAGCTTCTAACAGCTCAGAGAAGTGAACATTTCATCAGACAGTATGTGAATTAACCCAAAGAAGCTCTGCTTGGTTCCAGTCTATGATGTCGTGCCATGTTGTCCGCAAGAATTCTTAGCTCTTCCTGCCTTCCTGCATTGTTATAGGTCTCACTCAGATGCACTTGCGGGAGTCACATTTGCATCATGGACGAGACAGTCCATCCATCTTGGTTTAATTGGATTGAGAACGCCTTTTGTTTCCAGGAAAGTATTGATCACTATGAAGGAAGAGTAGTTTTGTCTCCAGAGGCATTCATTCAGCTGTTATAATCACACCAGGACGAAAGCACCAAGTAAGATTTGATTTTTTCTTTAGGGCAACAGACTTAAAGTTGTCCTCAGCCAAGGAAAAATGATACTGAAACTTTAAATTTTAAAGTATCTTGCACTGATAAATATATTTAAAAATTATATGTTTATAAAGTTATTAATTTGTAAAGGCAGTGTTACAAAATGTTCAGTTTATATTGTTTTAGATTGTTTCGTAAATTTTAAAGGTGTAAAATAACATATTTTTTCTTTATTGAAATCTATGAAACTTTCTGTAGTAAAATGTTTTCATTTTACTGGTATATTATTGCTTCATGTTTTGTACCATCATAAAATTTTGTGCAAATTTTTTTTACAGAAATTTTTATTTTCTATGACAATATGACACTTGTAAATTCTTGTTTCAAAATGAACAGCGAAGCCTTAACTTTAAATGACATTTGTATTCTCAGACACTGAGTAGCATAAAAACCACACAGAACTGAACTGTAACTTAAATTCCCAACTATGACTACTACATTCCAAAGAAACAGTTGAATTAAACATTTTCATAAAATATCCCAAACCTGATGGCTTTTATTATATTAGCTTTGTTATTGTTAAAGAAATTGGTATTATTCCAGCATCAAATACCTCTCAAGATTTTTTAAGTTCTCTTTTAAAAATAACATCCTAATAAGGAGAGAAGACTAAGAAGACATTTCCTGAATGTAGAATTTCAACCCAAATTGGATACCTGTCAAGAGAAGGAATGCAGAATGTGGCCTTATAAGTGGAAAATTTTTCAACCCCAGATCTTGTGTCAGATGTTCTGTATTCCATTTGGTAGACTTTTTTTTTTTTAATGAAATTCACAAATATCTGGTAGTATGATTTGTTCTTGTAGAAAATGGGTAATAAATCTGACAGTGGTTACGCATGCACCTGTGCTAAATTTAGATAGAGGACATAGTTGAACATGGCGTTACAACTGGCTATTTAGTAATTCTGGGAAAATTTCTATTCCATCTGGGACCAAAATAATAGTAATAATAGTAATGACAGCAACAACAAAGATGACAGAAGTGTTGAGCCAAAGCATGCTGAGTAGGACCCTGTGGAAGGCTTGTTAAAACAAAACTGGCCTATCCTAATCCTCACTACCCACAGACCAACAATTCTTTCTTTACCTCCCTCTGACTGTAGACAAACTCGATTCTAAAAGCATGGGAACGCCTTGAGGAGTGGGCTGTGCAGAGTAACAATAGTCCTATTTTTCTCTGGACACTTATGCATTTTGCATCTTCCAAGATTTAACCGAGAATAGGATATTTTCCCTGTTGAGTGCATTCTGCTTAGAGAAAAAAGTCTGAAATAGAGACAGAGCCAGGTAATCACCTTACTGAAGTTAAATTCTGTCTACATTCATGAATGTTTCCAGAAAGTGTGATAACTTGCAAGAGTCTATCAGAATTAATCCAGAGATACTTTCTGAAAAATGCTAAGGGCTATGGATTAATATTATCTCTGTTTCATTGTTTGAGAAGACCTTAAACATAGATGCTTTCACCCTCTTCTTATCCCCAGTTAGCTGCTAAGCTAGGCTTTTCTTACTGGATTTAATGAGCTAATTCACTGTACAATACTTCCCAAAGTTAGGAATTAAATATATCATGAGGATTGAAACATTTAACTTAAAAACTGAAAATTATTTATTGCTCCATCTCCTGTCTTCCCTGCTAACTTACTAGTCACCACTTGGGCTGAATTGTACTATATTTTTTCCCAAATCAAATGGATCTTGTAACATTCCATAATGTTTCTGCTTTCCAGTGGCAATTACAGTTCTTGTGTTGCATTAAAAAGCAGTTGTGCCAAGAATTACTTCTATTTCCCTAAACTATATCCATCAAGGGATCTTTAGCTGCTTTTCAACTTGGGGGTTGAGAAGCCTGAGTGAAGGGAGCCTCAAATGCAGTAGAACTGAGCACTCAGGAGCGTGTGAGACCAGGATGATAACTGACTTTGTTTTTAATGTTCCAAAGAAACATTGCAAGATGATACAGATAAGAGCATCACGTTGTCACATGCATGTCATTTCTTAGCCAGCAGTAAGGGTCCTATGAACCAATCCTTCATTTTCGGAGAGCAGAGTAAACGCCACGTCATGGGAATCTTCTGTGGTGATGGCTTTGTCCTTCTTGAATCTGAGAGCATTAGCTATTTTCATAGCGGCTCTGTGGGGTAAGGTTTGTAATTATTCCACGTTTTAAATGAGGAATCCACAGTTCAGACAGGTTGAGTGAGGAGTCAGCATGTATCCGGCCTCCTCTCCCCCTCCATTACTCCCGCCGCTCCAGAGCCCTGCATTATCTTGCAAGGTGCTCACACAGGGCCTTGTTTCTCAAGAACCAGCAGCAGCAGCAGCATCACCTGGATGCCTGGTAGAAATATGGAATCTCAGGCCATCCCCCAGACCTGCTGAGTCATTTTAACAAAATCCCATCCACTTGGGCTTGAGAAGCACCAGCACAGTCTGCAGTTACACGGAGCCAGGTGGGCGACGGTTTGCCTTGCTTCCAGTGGTGGTTTCGGGATGCTCACAGACAGGGGAAACATCCCTGCAGGTCTCACAAGCACTTTCCAGAAGAGTCTAGCACAGCGCAACCTGGAAAACAGACAGTAAAATGAGTAAATTGGAAATCCCACTCAGAAGCACCCTGTGGCCATTCTACCTAGTTGCCCTTAAGGGGCCTAAACATGGGCTTTTCTGAGAGGGAAGGGATAGTACTGATGAAATATTTTGCTGGATGAAAATTTGAAAGTGCTAAAGAAGCATAGCAAATACTCTATGACTCATCACAGTGTGGTCAGTGTTGAGAAAGGGGAAGACCAGTTCGCCAAAAGCCAAATCCTCCTACCCAACAGAAGTTCCTTCTTCATCACCCAATTTGCTGCTCTTCAAAGATGTTAAGATCCTGAATGACAAAACTAGATGGAACCCTATGTAATCTTTCTTTGGTGATTTCGAATCTTGTTCCTTAAGTTCCTTGTTACAAATGAGAAACTATCCGATAATAGCGTTTTGTTGTCAAATAGTGACTCTTGAGAAAGGGTTTTTCTACACAGAGAGATTGTCTCATCTCCACATCTAAGTGGACTAGTACCTATTATGATGTAGGAGTTCAATAAATGTGTAGCATTCATAGCCACTGCCTAATTTTATCACTGCCCTGTTAATGGAGTTGGACAGTTGCTTGCTCTGGCAGAATGTAAGGCTGGACGTGGACATGCCATCCCAGGATGGCACAACTGAGCCTCACCCTGGTGAAGCTTGAATGAGACAACCTGCCAGGATGGAGAGCAGGTCCTGGTCCTTTGTGATGCTCCTTTTAGTGATGTGGACATCTCCCCCCTCCCATCATTTTTGACATGAGCTAATTCCACACCTTTCTTCCAGGCCCCACCATCATCTTGCAGAGAGGTGATGTGGACAATACCAACCAGAACGTGTGGCTTCTAGTCTCTGTGCAACAGAGGACCAGAAAGTTGCTCACTGTCTCTTAAATACTGCAGCCTGGGATTGACATAGGGCCTTACCAAACTTAAGAGCTCTGCAAAAATTGGGGGAGCACATGTATATGCAATAAACCGTGGGTATCCCGGCCACAACTGGAAAAAACAAACCACCTTCCTGCTGTAGAAGGTAGATGAGGTCATCCGCTATGCCTGCCACGTAGGGAAGGAAGATGTCTGTCAGACTGGAAACCAATCGTAACTTAGGGAGAGAAATAACTTAGGGCGAGCAGTCAAATGAGATAAGATGTCTCATGTTGAAGATGAGACTCCCAAATATTGGATTGCAAGGAGGTGGATATAGATCAGGGGAGAAGAAGCGAGGAACCTGGGCTAAGGGCCTACGAAATCATATCAGCCCTTTGCACCCAGAGAATAGGGATCTTAGGAGGCAGTATGTGAAAGGCGACAGGCTCTGTGACTTCTGGGAGCAAACTTTTAAGCTTCTCAAATGTTCTGCCTATTTCCATTTGAATTTCCCCTGATATGTAGTCATTTTAGGACTATTTAGTAATTTTTAAAGTCCCCATGCATCTCAGCTATCCAAATGGGAGACAAGGGAAAGGTCTGTGTCCATATGTGGCCAAAACATAACACAGGAACTTAAACAGCATCCAGAGCCTGATCCCTCTCCACAGCAGATCCCATCTCCACTGCGTATTTTATTTGTTTGCATAGAATTTATCATATTTTAGTATACTATATGTTTCAGTTATTTATTTTATTATCCAACTACATTAATAGACTGCAGATTCCAAAATGGCAGTGATTTTCATCCGTTTCGTTCACCATGGTATCCACGGCACACAGCATTGTTCCCGGCACGTGGTAGGTGCTAACAAATGTTTGATGAATAAAGGAGCCACAGTAAGCAGCTGGAATAGGAGATCCTCAGTGGAAAGGGGAGATGAGGAGACAAAGTTAGGAGGGGGTTTAACCCACCCTAAGAAGGAGAATCCTCTTCTGGAGCAGGAATTTGGAGAGTTAGTGTTTCAGGATCTTTTTCTTAAAAGAAATTTCTTTCGCAACCTGCTGGTTAGGGAATTTCTCTATAACAGAATGACACCTCCTCTAATACTTATCTCTTGCCTAGAGACAAGCAATCCTCCTCCTAAATGTCTCTTTTTCTTATCTCTACCCAATGACAACATCCTCCCATATAGGATTTATTAAGTGAGAAATCATCTGTGGTCTCATAGAAGCCCGTCTTCCAGCACCTGTGGGAAGGTGAACTTTCTAGATAGCTGGATGAAAATGGCATATAAGTTTAGCTCTGTGAGATGCCAAACTAGAGATCAATTTGGGGGACGTGACTGGGCTACCCACAGGGTCCGTTAACAAGGCAGACGTCTTCCCGAGTGGCACTGCCTGAGGATTACTGAAAGGCCTCGAGAACCTAGCTTTGACTCTGCTTCTGATTTAAAAAAGTAGATTAAGCATAAACCAGTGTTTGCCCTTCTCCTAAGATTTCATTTTATATACAAACATGATACTTTCAAAATAAGAAAATTGTAATATAACTAGAAAAACAAGTGCAGCAGCAGAATGGAAAAGCTGAGGAAGCACAGGAAGACAGAAACTGAGTAAGAGAGACTATGGAGCTTTTCAGTTAAAATAATGAATAGTTTTAGCAGTATCACCTAAGTGCAATGGAGAAAATTAAGCAAAAAGGGAGATAGGGAATGCTGGGAGAAGGTTTATAAATGATTAAAAAGAAAATAGAGACAAACAGTAATAAAAAAACTCTATGTCACAAACTTTCCCTCTTCTGATAACAGAAAATAAAATTAAAATAGCAAAAATAATCACCAAAAGCAACTAAAACAGAAATGACTACAACCTACTTCAATAAACTTCAAAACCTAAAACAAAACAAAGAGACAGCTCTAGAGCAGCCAGGGGCAGCAGGGCGGGCAGCACAGCCTGGCTTCTCGTCTGATTCTACCCCCAGGAGGACATGTACAGGTGGGTCACAGAAACCCCAAGGACCCTCACTCAGCGCCAAATCTTGAGTTATGCAAACTGAAAGGATGGTCTCATCTTTTTCCTTTTTGACTGAGGAGAAGTGGAAACTACTGGAAATTATTTTATTTCCCAAAATAAAAGAAAAACTGGCAGGATGGGGAAAGGAGGGTGCTTTGAAGCTATCTGAATTGGGAAAGGGATATGAAGCCCATAGTACCACCTTTCACCCTGGGAAAGCTACATCCACCATTAGGTGAGGGAAACCCGGTGGGGCAGAGCCAGTAGGTTCTCCAATTTCTCCCTTTGATAATAGAATCCCCAAATTTCACCTGCACCCATGACTTCCCACAAGAAAGACTACATTTCCCAGCCTCCCTTGCTGCTAAGTGTGGCCATGTGACTATGTTCTAGACAATTATATGAGAGAAGTGATGCTTTTCTTTTTTTTAGCTTTAAAATTTTTTTTTATTGAGTTAATGATAGGTTACAATCTTGTGAAATTTCGGTTGTACATTAATGTTTGTCAGTCATGTTGTAGGTGCACCACTTCACCCTTTGTGCCCACCCCCCACCCCACCTTTCCCCTGGTATCCACTAAACTGTTCTTAGTCCATAATTTTAAATTCCTCATATGAGTGGAGTCATACACAGATAATCCTTCTCTCGCTGGCTTATTTCACTTAACATAATTCCATGAGAGAAGTGATGCTTGAAACCTCAGGCTCACGTCTTTAAAAAGAGATCATGACCTTTCCTTCTTCCTTTTTCCCTTCACACTGGCTGGATGTGGATGTGCTGGTAAGAGCTGAGTATCATTCTAATGCATAGAAAGCTTGACAGATAACCAGATAGAAGAATCCAGAATCCCTGACACCACAGAGCTGCCACCATTTCTGTGCCGCCAACCTGGACTGCTTACGTTCAAACAGCTATGTAAGAGAAATATAAATTTCTATGTTAATTAAATCACTGCTGGTTTGGCCTTTGTAGCTAAACCAGTATCATAGCCAATATCTGATTAAATATCTAATTTAGAACATTTGACAAGATCTTAGATGACAGAACTGAGTCTAGATGTTCTAATAAAGACTGCACACCAACCAAGATGATCTTGCCTCCTTCCTTTTTCATTTTCTCCTGCTATATATAGGCCAGATATAGTTGGAAGACAGTCAAGAATTACTCCCTCTACATCACAGCAAAGACAAAATCCAGGGTGAATGAGCCAAGCATAAGCAAGAAAAAACAGGCATCTCGGCACCCAGCAAATAAGCAACAGAAAACACAAGACACCATGGAGAAAACCAAGTTAAAATAACGTAGAAGAAAACATAAATCAAGAAACAAAAGGGAGTTACTCACAATTACTTGATATTATATACAGAACATAAATATAATAAATAAAAATCTATAATTGGAGGGGCTGGCTCCGTGGCCAAGTGGTTAAGTTCGTGCGCTCTGCTGCAGGCGGCCCAGTGTTTCGTTAGTTCGAATCCTGGGCGCGGACATGGCACTGCTCATCAGACCACACTGAGGCAGCATCCCACATGCCACAACTGGAAGGACCCACAACGAGGAATATACAACTATGTACTGGGGGGCTTTGGGGAGAAAGAGGAAAAAATAAAATCTATAATTGGAAAGTAAAATAACAGGATATGACAAAATTAAGGCTTGCAGACTTAAGGCTAATTGAGGAGCAAAATAGCATAATTAGAGGTTTAATAAATAACTTAGGAAAAAGCAAAACACTGTTGAAAATAGAATTACTGATATAAAAGGAAAAGTTTGAGATAGTTACGATAACTGTAGATGAAAAAGATACTAAAACAATTTGATTAACACTATTATTAATGGGGAAATAAAAGACAATGCAGCATAAACAGATATTTTGTGTCACTAAATGAGGGAACCCACCTAAGGAAAAGAAGAAGTATTCAGAGATATAATACAAGAAAATTTCCTTGAAATAAAGAAGATACCAAATCTGTTGACTGAAAAGAATACTGTGTTTCAAGAAAATGTGATACAGATTGTTCAACACTGAGCTATATCCTAGTTAGGCTGTTGGACTACAGGACTATTATGAATGTTTCAGGTGTCCAAGCAATAAAGGGAAATTACTAA